CTTTGGAGAAGCCCCTCCAAATTCGCCTTTTGCACCTACATTGCATGGCACATTAGAATAAATGAATAAAAAATCTGGATTTTACAACCAACAATGAAGTTCAAACTACAGACATATATCAAGTTATAGTGATACAAGAATTCCTTGAGCTCCCTTTCAATATATTCACTAGAAATGGGACTTCAACAAGTCCACAACTAAATAATAAAAGAATCATAGCTGATAGTTTGGATGAAGAATAAATTATTGGCAACATATTTGTCTGATAATTGTGATAATTTCATGTTGAACCCCACCATTTTACTTGGTGTATTCTATGTTATAATGATTAGAATCTTCTATTCTTTCAGCCGACCTTTAGTGCATATACCCACTGTTGGTGATAGGAGAATGAGGAATTTGTTGGGTATTTCACAGTAAAGCTTAATAATATTAATAAAATACATCTTAAAGAAAACTGAAATTTGCACAAATATGCTTAACAGAGTAATTACAATTGAAAGGAAGTAAAAAATGAGATGGGGCCTAGGACGTACCAGAATGCTCATATATTGATCGGGATTAAATGAGGTGGTGTTGATGGTTTCTAAAGGAGAAGCATATCTATTAGACGAACCGGTGGATGAACCAGACATTGAGGCATCAGGGGAGTAGAAGCTAGAAAGCAGATCCCTCATCCTCTTAGCTTTTTCATCCATTGGAACATCTTCAATCTCCATTTCTTTTGTCCTGCTTCCTCCTTGTAAGCTCTTCAAATTAACGTCTATTATTCTGGATAGAAGATCCTGGCTCTGGCAGTTATCTTCTGTTTATATTTTAAGCCTATCCTGCTACTGCATTCACAAATGGCATGGTATTATTCAGTTTTTTTGGTAAGAAACCAAGGTTTTATAGGGAAAAAAAAAAAAACTGGAAGAACAAAAGGAGAGAGTCCCACCACTAACTACAGAAAAGGACTCCATATAAAAGAATCAAACCTAGCTCATAATTACAGAAAGGCCAAGTAACAGACGCCCATAGACATTTTTATTTTAGTAAGAAATTGAGCTTTCATTGAGGAAAATAAAATAAAAAAAATAGACAAGGGCATACCAAAAATAAAAAATAAAAAATAAAAAAATCGATCCCACAATTACAATAACAACATTTTAAACCGAGCTACCCCTCAAACCTCCCTATAAATTCTGTTATTGAGTTTCGTTTTACAGCTATCTGGAGGCACATACCAAGCACTCAGCTTCTGCTCTTGAGAAATGCAAGCAGTCGTGATTGTTACATATTAACGAGATAACATAATAGATTTGACACAGTAACTTAAGAGCGATGAACTGCACCTTCTTTAGTTTGCCAGATGCGATGTGGATCATTAGAACAAGTCATCAAAAATATTTATAACGTTTAAGAAAAATTCAAATGAGTTCTTTCACATTCTCAACAGACAAAAGGCATTTTCATTTAATACTTCAATATATATCTTGGACTCTCCTAACATGCATCTTGATCAGCACTTTTGAATGATACATCAAAAGCACTACCTAGCATGGATCTCTATAAGAGATAGCCATGCAGAAGACTATTTTATTAAAAAAAATACTGCTAAAAAAGTAATACAAACTCACCATAACATAATGCCTCATTGCATGTATTGCAGCATGATATGATCTCCTTAATCTATTGTGTTTATCTTTTCCATACAATGATCTTTCCATTTTTGCCAATGTAGACAAGATGTATTGTAGATATAAACTTACTACGATTTTGATGGGATAAATCAGCCACCAGGAAAAAGGCTGTTCAATCAGCTGCTACAGAAATAACAAGTCCAGAATTTAACTTATCCATAGAAACATACGGTAAACCAGTAGAGTCGAAGAAGATTACTACTTATCATATTTGCGTTTTCTATTCATCTCTCCCTTTCCCTGAGCCAGTTATATAGTAATGAATAGCTTAAAGCTTTGTAGTTAAATTAAAGCTAAATGGGCTAATTAAAAATAATTTACAACACTCCACCGAATAAATAACTTCAATTTCCTAAAGTAAGCGTTTGAAAGATTCCCCTCCTAGAATTTTCTTTTTGCACACACACTTCAAAGAAGAAATCTTGAAGTTGCTGTCTTCTTGCTCTAAAACTGCTTTGAGTTTCTTCCCTGAGAATTTTTCCACAAAATCCCCAACTGTTTGAAAGTTTCTTTCCTAACAAACGGTTTCCAGAATATACATAAAGTACTTTTCTCCTCCAAATCCTTTAACTTCAGCAACTCTAAATTCTATGCATTTGAAAGGATTACATCCATTATTGATTCTAAAACCAAATTCGGCCAGATCTCAAGAAATTTTCCATCAACATAGTCCAATTGTCATAACGAACTTCAAAATGTGGGATAGCTGGAAAATTCTTTGAAGCCATAAGAAAGAAAGATGAGATGAATGGAGGGAAAATAAAATAAAGCCCCCACTTTTCTTATGCAAAAACAAAGCGCTGAAGAATTCAAAATGTATTCCGGGATACAAAATTCAATGAAGGTGAATAGGCATAATTAAGCAGACTCGGCACCTTACTTGTCACTGACCATTACAAACAACCTCTGGAATTATTGATTATAGGACTAGGATTCTAACAGAAAAAACTATTAACTATGACAATTTGTGGGAACAACTCAACGGTGATAACGAAGTCCTAAAGCTTCTTAGACTGAATAGGCACCACCAAGTGATCTTTTATTTTCACTGCCATAACTAAGAACCATTTTTTTCCCCAATCCCACTCTCAAATAACATTCCAAACACATTAGGATTTGGCCAAACAAAGACAAAAGTAGAATGACAAGAGCTTCCAACAGATATGTTCTATTGAGGATGGCTTGAATACTTACTTTTGGTAGGATCCTTGGTTGGCTGACAGTCCCCTGTGTATGTCTTATGTTTCCTTGCCTGTACCACCTTGTTTTTCCTTTCTCAGGTAACTCTTCCTTGATTATTTTTGGTTTCCATTGTCCTTTTCCAGACAGGGAGACAACAGATGTGTCTGTCGTTCCTTTTCAATCGAACGACTTCCATGTTTTGTGTGATCCCCTATATTTCTTTATTCTCCTTCTTATAGAAGACTAAGATCCCAAATTATTTTTTACAGGTCGGAGTTTACAACTTGCTCATTAAATATGGGACTGATTTTTGGAGTCATTTTCGTAATTGAGAAGTAGTGATGGCTGTTCAATGTTGGAGGAGGTTATATAAGCTAGAATTTCCCTAATAAGAGATCTGCCAATAAAACTCCAAAGGGGAAGAATTATAAACATTGTTCTATCTAAAACATCTTCAATTCTTCCTGTTCGCATCAAGGAGACAACAATCAATGGACCTTCAGCAATCATATTCTGATACAATCTAGATCATTCATAGAGGCAGAAGATAACTCAACAAATATCTAAAACTATTCAATGGTGATTAAGAACGCATTTCCATATAGCATCCAATGTAACAACTCAATCTCTGCATCTAAAATCTCCTCATCTGTATACCATTTCACAATCAAAACTCCTTTTCTTCCCCCTCACTTCGCGCAAAAACAGTCTTAAAACGGGAAATCGTGATAAGTAAATTCAAAACCATAAACAATCGTCTGTTTTAAGATTTTTACCTGGATTCCACGGCGATCACCGGAAGGAGAGAGCAGCGTCAGATCCAGTGAGACATGGGAGAGAAGAGAGCGAGTACAGAACAAGCATGTTGGAGGGAGAGACGAAGAAAAAGTCATGGCCGGTTAGCCCAAACCGGATTCCTTTGGTTCGATTGGCCAAATCGGTTCGGTTCGGCTGATAATTTCCCGCAATTTGAAATTAATTTATTTTATCCCATCAAATAAAATATATAGTTATTTGTCATATCCACATTTTTAAGAATAATTAGAGATTCAGTCAACATTTTTTATTTGTGGTTGAAATAATTGTCACATTTTCTGTGTGTATATATTCTTTAAATAAATTTCATTTTTTTAAGAATATCAATTTAATATAAATCTTAACTAAATTAATAAAAAAAAAATTAACTTTTTACTCTTAAAAATTAGAAAAAATTAAAACCTTTAAAAATATTTTTGTTACCATCTTAATATTTGTAGATTATATAGTTTTTATCCTAAAAAATTTACGATTTTTTTATAAAAAATAAAGGTGTTGATTCTTTAAAACTAGATATTAATGATTTTTTTAATTCAAAAATATTTTTGAAATTCTAAGTTTAATTATTTATAAATAAAATTTTGAAACTTTATTTAAAATTTAAAATTTATGAATATCTTTATTAATTTAATTACTAATATTAATTGGAATTGGGCAAAATATTTTATATATATGTATGAAAAGTCAAGAAGCCCCTCCATACATGTTTATAGACGCAAAAGCAATTGGCTGTCTCTTGGGTGTAGCACAGGCATGCCTTTTATTTATTTATTAATATTATTTTCCACTTTTTAATCGTTTCCTTGCCTTTAAGAAATGTAATTAAAAAATTCATAAAATAAAATATAAATATTTATAATCATTCTCTAAATTAGCCGATCGAAGACTTTTATCATCTAATCGTATTTATTCATTGTATTTTTTAAAGGGTATATATCATGTGTTTTTGTGAGGGGAGCTTTTTAAATATAATTTTTAAAATTAAATAAATTAATTTTATATGCTAATAAAATCATACGGTAAATAAATGCAACCATTGGAGTTTAGTAATAAATAATTACAAAGATTATTGTAAAAAAAATATAAATTTTAACTATTTTATTTAATGAAAATTATGAAAAAAAAGACAAGTGGACAGTAAGCGACAGTTACTTCCATGCTGTCGTCATCTCCCATGCCAGCTATGACACCGACGGGATGTCTTAAAATTACGTTTTTCTCATTTTTTTAATTAAATATCCGAATTATTTAGTTGAGCCCTTCACGTTCCTCGCCTATAAAAGCCCCTCTCCACGCCTTGCCTAACCTTCTTTCGCCTCGCATTTTGCTCGCATTTCCTACCAATAAGCTAAGTCTCCTTTTTCCTTATTCTTTTTCTCTCTTTTCAAGTTTTTTTTCCTTTTCTTCTTTCTTTCCTTGTTCTTGCGTTGCTTTTCCAATTCGAATATTTGAGATTCTGTTTGTTGAAATCTTTATCGGAGTTCTTGATTCGCTCTCGATTTTGTGGTTTTTCGATCTCTTTGGCTGTTCCTTGTTCATTTCTCGTCCTCCGTGTTTCTCTGTTGCTCTGGTTTGACGATTCGGGGTTAAGTACTTCGTTCCTAGGGTTTTGTTGGTTACCTCGATGATTTTAGGCTTTCTATGACGTTATCTTTACTAAGGCGACGTATTCGTATCCTCCACTCGTTTTCGGTTGTGTTTCTGTACTGGTTCTACGTCTTCTCATGAACTAATCGCCTAATTCGTCGTGGTGGAATTTGATTCATCTCTTCTTACGGTAGCTGAGTTGTCAATCGGAAGATTCATTTGATTTTTATCAGATTAGAAACTAATAACTTTTGACTCGAGAAGATTATTTGGTAATATTTTGGCGGGAAGTCCTTGAAGGAGAGAATTGTATGGCTTCTATTCCAAGGCAAACCAGCTTGGGTTCTAATGGAGGTTCGCCACCTGCCATTCCTGATGAGAGGAAGAGGAAGCGGATGCAATCTAACAGAGAATCGGCTCGGAGATCTCGGATGAGGAAGCAGAAGCAAGTGGAGGATCTCACGGGCGAGGTTAGCCGATTGCAAATTGCGAATAATCAGCTTCTGCAAAGCATTGGTGCCAAGGAGCAAGCGTTTGTCCAGGTCGACAACATGAACAATGTCCTCAGGGCTCAAGCTATGGAGCTGACTGATCGTCTGCGGTCCCTGAACTCGGTCCTTCAGATTGTGGAGGAGGTTAGCGGACTTGCTATGGATATCCCTGAAATTCCTGATCCTCTCTTGAAGCCGTGGGAGTTCTCTCGGCCAGTTCTGCCCGCTGCTGACATGTTTCTATGTTAAGTCAAGTCCCTCTTAAAGCCACACTTGCGAGTCTTTTGTCTAGTGGTCGTTTGTGAATTTATCGCAGATCTTAGTATTCTGCTATGTGTTGGTGTTTGCGTGTCATGTAATAGAGGTTGTGTATCTGCAAGTATAGTCGAGAAAAGTCTACCACCTACATGTGTTTTTGGTTTATGGTTATTGATAATCTGATATTATCTGTATTCAAATTCTATGTTTGCTCTAGCGATTTCCCACTGGGTAATTGCAGAACGCAAGATGTTAGTGGATACCATTGACGTAGAATTTGGTCTTATGTATTGAATATTGTTAATGCAAAGCGCTCTGCTGCTTCCTATTAATTCTGCAGCTCGTTACATGCCTCTTGTATGTTGCTATTAGAACTTCTGCTGTTAGTTCTGATCTGTGTCCAATCCAATTTTCTATCTCTATTACAAATTTGATTTGGACTGTCAGGAATTTGCCGCCTTTCGTTTTGAATTGGTGCATTACAGTTGAATCAAAAAGTCTCGTGGTTGATTCTGGTTCGTGGCTATCCCAGATGATAAAGAATATGCTGGAGAAACCCAGGTGCGTACTGTGGCTTATACTAATCCATTATGTAATCATTCATGGGGTTGATTTTTCTTCATTGAATGTGTTCGATTTTATCCTCGGTATTCTTCCTCGAACCTTCTTTCTAATTTATTTGGAGCTTCTCTCTGGACTTTATCAATGTTGTTTGCCGCTGGATATTTGTAGGGTGGAGTTGGTAGGAAATTGGAAAAAGGTAGAAATACTGTGAATATGGTCTCCTTTAATTAATGCTTTATTTAATTTCCTACAAGTCAAAGTAATCTTAAAACTCCATATGCTAATTTTTCAATTGCTTATCTTTGAACAAATTTGACCTGCTTGCCCCTTGGTTCCGTGGGCAATTTAGCTTATCCAATGTGTTAAATCGTCTTATTCCACTTCCACAATATGCTGATTCTTTTCTTCTTTTCTTCATAAAATAATCATGTTCTCTAAAATAGTCTTCTCTTGACAAATGGCATAGATGTAGAGAATTGCGTGTTTCAACGTAATTTTCTATTTTCTATGGCCTCTGTTCCCTTAATAAATGGGTTCGTTACAATACAAAAAGTGAAACGTTTATACAATTTATCTCTCCTTTCAACTGTACAAAACTGCTCACTGCTTAAACTCATTTAATAATATTATTGGCATATGTCGTTTAGTTTCTTGTGATTGCCCTTTTTAAATATTATGGAGCTATTTTACAAACTGTTTTTTGGTTTCTAGAACATAAATCTAGCGTGTTATTGTTAATTGCTTTTTAGAAGAAGTCATCCCAGGTTCTTTAAAGTATTTTTATATAAGTTTATTATGATTATTGAACATTTAAGTGGATATTATTTCTGAGTTTTATCGTTTGAAATATTAGTCAAGGTGAATTATTTTTGTTAAAAGTATATCTTTGCATAGAACTTTCCCAGTTCAATCTTTTCTCAATATTGGAAGCATCTTTAAAGTTGGAGTTTTTTTTTTTTTTGGGCTCTGGAAAAGAAGAGAATAATAATTACCTTTAAGCATTTGGAATAAGTTTTGATTAGATAAATATGTATATTTACTTGTTATTATTAATCTAAGAATGTTATCATTTTTTCTCAATAAATAATCACAAGTGGGAGGTAAACAAAGTCAATAAAATATTCTCTATTTTCTAATATAAAATATTTTGAATTGAATTCATTTTTTTTCTTTTGGAAATAGCTTGATTTCTCAATTAAGACTGAGTTAAAGAGATATATATACATATACATACACACCTTTTTCACATGTGAAACGACTTGATTTGTCAACTAAAATCAAATTAGAAGGGATGTACATATGTATATATATACCTCCATTGTTTTCAACATGTGAAATGGCTTGATTATATATATATATATATATATATATATAAAAGGAGACATTTAAAACCTGAAACTGTTAAGAGAAATTACTAATAAATTAACTAGTTGAGGTCCAAGATAGCAAAATGAACTCATTTGATAAATTTGGCTTGTTTTTCTATTCACCACATGATGCAATATTACGCCAAGAAAAAAAACTAATAGAAATCAAATATATAACTTAGTTTATCCTAATCTATAAATCTAAACTTTCAGGATTAGCTACAATGATAAGCTACCTAATAGTACTAATAAGAACACAACTAATCATATAGAAAAGTTCATAATATAAGAATGAATAGAAAGGCAAATTTGGTCCCAATAATCAAAAATCCTAAACTGAAAAACCAAACCAACAATCATTTCAATCCAGCACCATTAAGATACAAGCTAGTTTGTCTATGTGCAAATCAGTTTGCCCGATTTGCATAAAATGATACTGAATCGGGGTATACAATTACATAATGTTCATTATTTCTCACATTTTATTAGCGTTTTATATTATATCCTAGAATAATCCTATGCATATTAACATATATGGTTGTTTCTATAACTTCTTAAAAGCATAATAGGTAGCAAGCATGGACACGGACATGGTTTATGCATCCAAACCTTGCCAATGGCAAATCAATGAGATTGGTGTTTCTTTGCTCTCCCTTGGGAAACTGAGCCATCGTCTCTCTTGGAACCCTCAGGTCTTCGAGCCCATGCAGGCGCTTGATCGGGTCCATAGCGGTAATCATAGAAAAGCTCTTCACTAGCATCAATATGCTCCTTGGCAAAAATGCCTACCCTATGATCTCCTGCCACCAACATTACCTGTTCAAGCCAGCAAAAAAAGTGAGCTATTTCCTTTGCAGAAGTACAACGAGAACTGAGAATTTCAGATTTCATGGGAGATTCCCGATACCAGCTTAGCTTACCTTCGCGTAACAGTTGGGGTTTGATGAATGATTTGCAAACTTTAGCTTGTCTCCTTTACGATAGGCATCTAGAACATACTGTGGAAATAGAAAACTAGAATAATGTTGCAATGGAATTTGTAGTGAGGGTCCAGTTCACAAAGTATCCTAATTAATATTATTATATATATATAAATAATAGGAGAAAAAAAAGATGAAGTTATTTCCGTAAATGCATTCAACCAACTCCAATCCTTTTACCTATTAACATCTTAGAAGATTTCACAAAAAACCCATCTCACTTAGTTTTTTACTTTTTGGAAATATATTAGCTAAAGTGTTTTTATACTTGATATGTTCCTTGGATTATTTACCATTGGTATTCAAGCTCTTATTTTTGCAACTTTAGCTGCGGCTTATATAGGCGAATTCATGGAGGGTCATCATTGATTAGTGTTCGAAATTGTTTTTTTTTTTTTTTTTTAAAGCTTAGACCAAGGCAATGTATACCTGATTCAAGATAATCTAGGGAACATAAATATACAAATAATATAAAAATAAAAAGGGTATATACTATCTAGGGAGTAAGAGTAATAGGAAAAATAAAATTACGCTATTCTTCAAAAATTGTAAAAAAGCTCTAGACGATCGAACAAAAGAACAAAAATAATAAACTATATGAACTTGGATTAATCAAATATTGATATTTCTAAGCAAAGATTTGGACTAATTCGTTCTAGGCAAGGATTCGGACTAATTCGTCCATATATATATATGTATATACAGAAAGCTGTAGAATATGTATATGGCATAAACGTGAAAGAAGCCCATTTACCTGATCATTCAAGTCAAAAAGGAAAGAAGAGTTTGCACGATCGTAAATTTTCCCACGCTTATCTGCTTCTCGATGTGAGATTAATTCCCCTGTATACTCTCCAAGATAATCATTCTTGTTGACGGAGTTCTGAAATCAAATTTTCCCCTGGTTCAGAATATTATTTGAACACAAGAATAGAATACAAAGCTAGTGTATGACCTTCAAAAACGCTCCCCATCCAGCAACATCAGACTTGGACAGGAGAATCTGGAAATTGAGAAAATAATGTATACAATTCTTGAATTAATTCCAATAGATTGAAGTATTTAAACGTTAAATTTCTCACTCTCTGCTGTTGCCTTAGGAGGAGCCGCATGTTACCACACTGGCCATCTCCCTGTCTAGGTGGCTCTCCCAGTGAACCGTCGCCACAACTATGAAAATTGGACATATAGGCAGCATTGTCAGGGACCAGAAAGTTATTTACAACCAGATGAAATATAGATGTCAAACACAAGTTCTATCGGACCAATTTTGGACTGTTAATCACTTATGTGTGTGTTCGTGCTTAAAAATACTCATGTTTCCTGCAGAAATAAGTTAACAGGTTGATAGGTTGATCATATTAGATTAAGAAAATGTTCGAACTTCCCATGGCATCAATGTACTAAGTATAACAATGTGAAATTCCGTTCCCTGGAAGATTAACTAATGAAATCTCTATAAATAATATATCTAAAAGTGTTCTCTTTCATGTGGAATATACTGGCCCCAAAATAAATCCCAGTGAACCAAGATGGACCAAAAGTGTGGTGAACTTCAGTGAAGTTGCTAGCAAACTTCTGCATTAATATTCACCGATATATATGAATAAATGCATATCCATCAGAAGTTGAAGTAAATTGTTTCGAGACCCAATACCTGACCCAACAATTTCGGCATACATCAGGGTCACATTCACGTCCCGCGGCAAAACATGGGCACTGCCTGCTTCTGCATTGACTCTTAGCACAGTGACATCCCCTGAACCTATTTTTGCAACTTTTTGAGCACCTGAAATGAAATTTAAATGCTGGTTTAACTGTGGCCTTTCCAGAAGGAAAGTCTCGTAAATGTCAGGCAACTAAAAAAGCTTAACTAGCAAGAGCATACAATAGATTGAAGTACAGTTCAACACGGGGGTGGGGGGTGGGGTGCAATTATGAACTAAAAACCAAGCATTAGAAAAATCATACCCACAATATTTTTCACAGCAGGTTCCATTATGAAGACAAGGGCATTGCTTTCCACATGAAGACAAGCATCCACACGGTGCATATTGTTTACAAGATTGATTTTTTCCATCAGCAATCCTTTTCCAAAATGATGGATGACCAGCAGATTTCCAAGAATACTTGAGCTTCCGTGCCTTTCCTCGTTTACGGAGTAGCCGTGATCTAGTTCGCATGTCCTGTTCCTAACACAAGAAAGAAGAGGTGAGGGAAAATGCTTAGATTTTGTTTTTTTTTTCAGTGATGCAAAGTAACAAGATGAAATGATAAAGATGAGTTCTTCAATAGTGTAATTACAAAAAATTGCAGAAATAACAAAGTTAAGAAATTTAGTACTTCTTAAAATATGAGAAACATTAATATAAATACACCCCCCCGCCCCTCCAAAAGAAAAATCTCAAGGGAAAAAATGTTTTAATTCTTGTTTTCATTTATGTGCAGTTTACCTTATAGTCAATATCAGTTTTTCCATTGTCATCTGCATTTGAGTTTAGCGTGCTGTTCGATCTTTGGGAAGTTGAAGCTCCACCATTGTGCATGTAATTGAATACCTCCATGCAAGTCTTCAATCCAGAGAGTAGGTTTCTAGATATGAGGCAACTACAACCAAAATTTTAAATATAGAAATCAAAAAAGTCTCGAGGAAACAATACGATTAGTCTACAACTGTTGTTAGAATAGACTTGAGTTCCATTTAGAGAAACAAATATAAATGCGACTCTAATTAAGCAAGATCTTGTCCCAAAATTTCATATTGTTTCATGTGAAATTCATGATGAGCAGAGAATAGCTGACCAATCAAGTTCTAGCTATACATCCATATATTCCAAAGTTACGCAGGGAGATTAGCGTCTCAAATGATCTTCCTAGCCTCAAAACCAATATCAAATTTTATTGGATAGCTAATCCCTTATCCTTTTCAACTGAAGGCATTGACTACCATCTCGTATCCATAAGCATCTCAAGTAAGTCTAAGGACCCACCTGTTTCTTCCAAATATCTCTATTCCCTTCATGTACAATTCTTTTTCCATGAGCTTCCACAACGAACTTTCACACGTTCCTTCAACTTGTTCATTGACAGCTTCAACCGACAACTTCGAGGTTGACAATTCTTTGACTTCTACAGTGCTATACCTGCCAGTGTCCAAATTATCACATGAAGTAATATCTGAGGGAGGAACTTTCTCCTTAGCTTGTCCGGTGGCTTCACTCAAGGATATATCATTCCTTTGAAGTTCAATTTTTTGAAGTCCATGTATATCCTCATGATTATATCTGGTGATGGTAATATTGCAGAGTCCAGGGATGGTGTCAGTAGGGGCATTTACAACATCCGTGGCTGACAACATTTTTTGTTTCTTGCAATCTGAAGAATTGTTAGAAATTAGTTCAGGGTCATTTGACGCTGAAACCTTATTTTGGTGCTCCACGGCTCTCTGCTTGGTCCCAGTTTCAGGACTGATAGCAGTTCCTACAGAAGCATCTGAATTTAAGCCTATGGTCGTCTCAGTCACAGAAATGGATTCAGGAGTAATGGATATCAGTTTTTCAGCAAGACATCTTTCATTCTGTACGATGTCAGCATCAACATGAGCACTTAACTCTTCAGGTTTGGATGATCTTGGTCTCTTGTTACTTCGTTCTGGAGTTTTCCCTTGTGTTTGCTGCAAGCAATGAATATATGGAAATAACATTAAGGATCTGTCAAGTATCTTAATGTAAAGAAGCAGACATGGACATTGAACCTGAAAACAACTTTGCAAGAACAACAACTATATTGCCGGATTTGGCTAGTTATAGATGCATGTAAGGAAGCCAAGAAAACTATACGAGTAAAAGATGATGCTATTAACAATATAGCAGACGAGCGCTCAGAAAATTCAGCATGCCATCAACTATTTGTCTCATTGCGTATCTTACAACAATTAAGCATATCAAACTCCAATATGATGCAGAATACTCCTTCCTTTTGTTCACCAATTATAGATAATTTCTGAAACAACTGGGTCATATCAGTGGTATGAGTTGGATGGAAAATTTATGAGGTGCTAAGTGGTTTGTGCTAGAAAACATCAAGAGACAAGAAGAAACTTTACCTTAAGGAAACATTGGTTACTGCAAGGTTTTCTTTCTTCCTCATGTTCAGGCCAATAAAGCAGCTTTTCAATCTGTGAAACAAGATTCTCGGTAAACTCGTTGATAATAAGACAATTACACAAGCTACAAAAGGAAACGAGAACGTAGACACAGTTGCTTACAGGATAGGTTAACGATTGAGAGCACCCATGTAGACGGCAATCAAATAGCTGTCAGTAGGATGCAATACAACAGGTGAGCAAAAGAATGATCAGAAACCACTAAATGTGTACGTCTAGAAATTTTAATTATTATGATTAAACTGTCATTTTTAGTCCCTAAACTATAACTCACTTTCAGCTTACTATATAATCATCTAAACTTCGATTTGTCTTTAAGTTTTTAGCTGATATTAAATGGGTCATTCCTCTTTATTATTAGGAGGATTGCCTGGTTTTAGTTCGTGGCTATTATATTTGCAGCGGAAGCTAGCCCAATTGAATTTTAAGATAACTAAAAATGGCCCTACTTACAGGAAAATCTGTACGACATGGATTAGAATTTCAAAGAATCAACTAGAATTTCAAAGAATCAACTAGAATTTCAAAAACTCTGAGGACCAAAATGAAAAGCAAAAAGTGTTCGAAACTATTCTAAACATTATTGCTTAAACAAATAAGAATGAGAACGGAAAAACTAAAAATCGCTTACCATACAGCGACGGCAAAAGAGGTTATCAAAAGAATCTAATGTTGAACTGAGGCTCTTGTATAAAGATATTCCATTGTTGGACTTCAATTCTTCCAAAGCTTTAGAACTTGAATCCGTTTTGCAATTCCTTTCCTTAAGGACATTAAACCGCTCCTGAAAATCTCAGAAAAGTTGTGACTCAAGCAATAGGAAAAAGGATGGACACTTGAAATTTAGTTTTTTGACAGTTCAAACTTGTACGTAACATACAAATATGTATTCACTTATAGATGCATGACTATTCAGCACTAGTTTATGTTGCCCTTTTTAACCACATTACCTGGATTTCTGAAGTGGTACAGCCAATGGAATGACTTAAAATTTGAAGTACATCCTCGCCTACTCCATGTTCCTGAATAATAATCCTGGAAAATGCAACAAAAAAAAGAATTGACCTTAACAGCTCTACGTCTGTTTTAAAACAATAAATAACCAGGCAAAGCCACTTCAATTTATCTAATATATTTGAGTCATGCATTGCCTCCTCCCACAGAAAGCCTCAAACAACAGGTCAATCTCATTTGGTCTCCAAAATAGAAGTGTATCAATAATCTAGGAATACAATAAAGAAACAGGAAGACATGTACGAATGGTTGAAAATACTGGGAACTAAAATGTGCTTCTCCAGGTATGAAATGACCAACACACACACACACAAAAAAAAAAAAAAAAATCTAGAAATCACCCCTGAATAATTAGGCAGAAGAACAAGAAATACAGTTCATAATAAACCAGGCATCAAGCAATATCTAATTAAGCTTACTGTAGAACACGGTCTTCACCCTCAGAAAACTCATGTTTTTCATCCTCGGGTTCTGCAAGTTCTTCCTCACTGTCACTACAGATCAAGGCTTCACTGCCATGCTGGTCATAATAAATGCGTCTTCTTCCGACTACCGACTGGTCCTCAGCCATTCTCTGATTCCTGTGCTGTGAGAGACAAATTTGAGATGGATATGATAGAAACACCACAACAAAGTACATATTATTTACTATATTTCTATCTTTCCTTCTTGTGAAACAGAGACAACTTCAAGAATATAAATTATTAGACTGCTAAAGCTAATTTTAAGAGAGAACAATTGAGCAAAGTATCTCAAACAATGGTATACCTGTCCAAAAATATCCACGTTGTGTAAGGAGGTAATCTCTCAACGTATGGAAGTTTAATACTGATGGAGTATACTACCTCCTGATTGTTAATGTAGTCTTTATCTTCAGAACCAGAAGCAATCCCAGATAACTTACAAAGAGGAAGCTCCATTCTTGAGAGAAGCATTTTTCCGTTCCTACTTTCTTCTACAAATGACGGAACATGTCTAGAAGTTGCAGACATAACCAGAGCAACGTTGCTTGCAAGCCTCAGTGCATTGCTCTCAAGCTTCATCTGCACAAGCATACTATGAATTTTGCCTTTTCTCTTTTTCATGGATGTAGAAGGCTTGCCCTAGTTTAAAAGAAATCTCGAATCAAACAAAATTTCTGCAACATACCTTTACTGAAACAACTCTCTCGGCTTGAATTTGCCTTTTGAGCGAATTTACCCGATTTGTCAAGGACTCAATACCAAAATTCGATTTGTCTCCCTATGAAATTGCAATAGAATGGGGTAAAATACATAGATGTACCATCATATACTCAGGAACCAAATGAAACAATTAAATTCTCAAATAAAAAGCTTAGATCAGATCACTTAATCAACTCTTTCATTGCAACAAATTTTCGCGGGAAAAAACAAGGAATACAAAAACCATTACGGTTGTGTCGCATACATCAACCAGCCAAAAGCATACGAACTTCCGTCGTATCATCTCTAGAACCTCGAATTCCGCAATCACAATCCAATTTCATTCGGATACTAAACAAAAGGATCACCGATTGCTTGCTTAAACGATCGTGAAATTAAAAGAAAGAAAAAAGTGCAAGGAAAGGGGATGTGTTAGAGAAAGAGAAAGAGACTGACAGTGAATTTGGCGTCGGAGTCGATTTGCTTGGACGCCATGGTTGGCACATCGAGAGTGGGACTGTAACACAATCGAGGTTGAGGAAGAAGAAGAAGAGAGGCCGAGTCTGAAGCCGACACGTACGGAGGACAGTGACGTGGCTCCACTCAGATATAGGAATCCGGGACGATTTTGTGCACTCAAATTCAAGAAAAAATTTATTCCAAGTTTCCGCTGGGTCCTTCAACTATTCAGTAATTATGCTGAATGCCCTTTTCACTTGTCCTATTTCTCAAATTCATCGACCTCCTTAAATTATTGAGTAATTGCGGCAAATGCCCATTTCTCTTCGAAATTACAACCTTCGAACAATTTTGCACCGTTTAGAGATGTCCATCGGGTAGAGACCGAAAGGATTCTCCGTTCCTATCTCTGCCACCTATTTCATTCTACATCCTACAAAATTCTTCATTTATTTTTGTGGAAATTCCTTTAAAAACATGGGAGATTTTATTATTTTTTAAAATTAATTATTTTAAAATTTTCATTTTTTAATATAATCTTTTTTATAAAAAACATAATTATTTTTAATAAATCAATATATAAAATGTAGCTTAACTTAATTTTTCAAAATTTAAATTTTAATATTAAAACATTTTAACAATTACAAAAAAATATAATACATCTTTAAACATTACCATAACAGATTTATAATTAACTAATTTATTTTTTAATATCACTAAAAATAATAAATTTGTATTTTACTTTATAATATGGGTTTAAAATATATTTACATTAAAAGAAGTGGGGAATTGAACTGGGCGAGGACGGGGAATATAAACTTGTCCCCGACCCTATTTATCTAAATGAAAAAACATGTTCTCCACTCCCTTTCTCGTTTTCTATCTAAACTAGGAATCTCCTTTGTGTTTGGGGGTAAAATAGACATTTTTAATTAAAAGTAAGAAAGCGAAACTACAAAAATAATTTAAAATTATAACCGTCAATTATGATCAAGCGTATAATTTTTTAAAATTAATATTAAACTGATAATCAAACAATTGCATTAATTTAAAATATATGTTAATTACCATTAAATACAATGTATGCAATTATATGGTAATAAATCTAATTACTATTCTACATAAAAACAATTTAGACATTATCCTCAAGAACAACTTCATAGCTTTTAGATTGTTTTCTTAAGAAGAGAACCTTATCCAAAAACTGAGCAACAGATTTAACGATCTTTGCAATTCCAACGGCAACGTTGACATAATACAAGCACCAACCCAAAAAGTCCACCGGACCCAATTCCTCCGCGGCCATCAACCACTTTCGTTCCGCCACGACCACCAACGCCTCCGCTTCATCCCTTAGCCGCCACCACCAGAGGCCGCCGAAGCTCAACGTAGTCGCTGTCGTCTCAAACCACCTCTCTTTTTGGGATTCCCCAAATACGGTGTCGTCTACCACTGGCTTCACCACCATCCTTGTCCAATGCACTACAGATTCATGAAGTCCTAAAAAGAACAATATCCTGCTCCACAAGCCGCCCTCGATGCGGCTGACAATTGTGTCGCTGAGGCCCATCGATAAGCTTCCCTCGATCCCGACACCGACACACACCTATCGTTAACAAATGTGAATAGATTATTGCTTGACATCGAATTAAATTTTTTGGGTTGAGTTGGATTGTTTTAACGTACCTGAAAAGTACAGAGGAGAATCCAAGCAGCGTAGAGACGTGGTTGGGAGACGTGGCCGGGAAAGTTAGCGTGGAGAATGGATTTACCGGTGAGGGAATGGAGGAGGGCGGAGACGATAACGAAAGCAACGAGAAGGAAGAGAAGAGGAGAATTGAGGTAGAAAATGAGAGAGAGCAACAATGGCGGCGGGGCGGGGAGATATAGGGCGGAGGAGAGGCGGAGGAGGAGGAGGAAGGAGAGGGGAAGCAAGAGGCCAAGAAGGTTGACGGCGAAGAGATGAAACAAAAAGAAAGGTTTTAGAGCTTCCATGGTGGCAACTTTGGTTTTGAGAAGACAAAGAATTGGATTGGTTTATAAATATATATATACATTTCTTTCAGTAATGTTTATAAAATTTAGGGAATAATCTTGTTATCATAAAGTGGATGCCACGTCCACGATGATGAGTTGACTTAGACTTGTCCAATAATCATTATATTATATACAACCATCGGAAACATGCTGGATTTGTAAACGATATAGCGTTCCCGATCGAAAATGACGACTCCTTTAAAAAAACGAAGTTATTCAATTTCTTTTTCTCAAATCAGTCCCGTTTCGATGGCCCGACGAGTCATCTACTTAAAGCAGTGTGCCTCTCCTTGAATTATTTGGTCATGTAATTGAATACAAAGAACAAAATGCATTTCGACCCATCATAGTTCTCAATCATTTCGTGCCACCAGGTGTGGCTGACCATCTATGATGGTGGGAGTGAATATACAGGGAAGAAGCTTAGAAAGCTCGACCAGGGAGAAAAAATGTGGCCGAACCCAAAAAAATAAAAATAAAAACTTAGTGGATTGGATTAAACCGGATTGAGTATATAATTGTGTGTTTCATATACTTAGAGGAACTCACGAAACGAATATATTTTTTTGCATAAAGTATAACTAAGAGATATCTATAAGGCAGACCAAAGTTTTGAAAGTCTACCTCATCTCCATCTCTGCCCCATCTTGTCAACTTTTCCCTATCCGATAGTTATATGTTTTTAGCCGTTGTTGTTGCCTTTTTGCTTGCATCACATCTAACATCAATTTCAATCTCTCAAATCTTGCTTTCAAAATTTTCTTTCGACTCCGTTTTCTAAAACTTTCTTCTTGAACAAGGGCTAGAGGCTTGAGCATACGCATTTGACCGTAGGCAATCCAAAAATGAATTAACTTAACTCACTGGGAGTAAGTGTTGTATAATCGCAAGTCCACTATCATCAAAAGTGCGATTATCACAAGTTGTATAGCAAAAATCGATGAAGAAACTTTATATATATTAACCTTCATTAAAAAAAATATATATATATTTATAGAAATATATATTGATACTTTATTGATTTATCAATTAAATTGAAAATATAATATCATAATTATAGAGACTAAAATTATTTTATTTTAGATCGAACTTTTTTTAATCTTTAATTTCTTGAGTTTAAAAATTCAAATTAATTTTTTCCTGGACTTATACAAGTAGTTGGGCCAATGAAGAAATTGGAGCATCTGTGCTCTTGGGCCTATTTGTGCCATGATCTTATTTTTATTATTATTTTTTAATTTTCTATATATATATATATATATATATATATATTTGTTTTAAAATTGAGTTTAGATTTATTCTAAAATTTTAAAATATTATTTAGATTACTTTTTAAGCCTAATTTGGCTAAAATTTGCATGAAGAATTGATTATGGACTATGTAATTTTGGCAATAATTCTTATAAGAAAAATTCAAATATGGAAATTTCTTTCAAAATTTGGTAATTTAAATTTTTTTGAAATCGGGTCCAAATCGTTTAAAGGGTCGATCATGTGAGATCTCACATCAATTACAAAGAGGAACAAAAGTCTTCCTTATATAGATGTGGAAATCTCTCATTAATAGACATGTTTTAATGAGCCAAAGTGAACAGTATCAGTCATTGGTAAAGTTAGGCTGTCACAAATGGTATTAAGTCACAAGAACGTTGGACCCTCAAGGGGTGAATTGTGAGATCTTCATCAGTTCATCTCTCCCTGGTAGATACGTTTTAAAATCGTATCAGTAGTAGAAGCTAACACAAGTCGTAACTCATTCTTTCGTAATGAAGTTCGGTCTAATTTAGTCCTGTTCGAGATAGAATTTGGCAAATATAAAGATAAAAAGAGGATAAAAATTTGCATAGGGCTCCCACATGTTGTGTGGAGAGGATATAAAGGAGATTCAATAAATTCCTTAAAAGTTCCATTAACTTGTTGGTGGGTATGGCATTATGAATGTGAATTAGTGCTTTTTTTTCCCTTTTCAAGTTTTTTTTATGCTGTTTCTCTTAAATAAGAAACCACTTAATATTTCTTTTCATAAATGGCTTAGCAAAATAATAATAAATAAATAATACTCTTTAAAATACTTTCAAGTATTTTTACAATTTTTTTTTATGTTAGATTAATAAATGCTTACGTCAATATAGCATCACATCATTCAAATATTTAGAAAAAATAATATTTTAAATTTTAATTTGATGAACAACGCAAATGTAATTTTTAATTTCTAAAGATTAAAGATATTATTAAAAAATTTAAAAGTTCAACAGTATTTTTTTTATCGTTTTTATTATACAAAAATTGATTTTTTTTTTAATTTTTAAAATATTTTTCAACAAAAAAAAAAAAAAATACAAAATTCACTAATATTTTTTAAAAACAAAATACAAAATAACATATTACATTCCAAATTTGCCACCCATAGGATTTATGCGGGCTAAAAAGGAATAGGCCCACAAATGCGCCATGCAGCCAATGGAAAATATAATAGGGCCCACCATCCCTAAATTAGTAACAATAATTGTCATCTTAATCTTAATTTAAATGAGGTTGAGCGGTTACAAATGACATCAAGAGTCAGATAGTATGCCAGAGTGAGGATATTGGCTTCTAGAAGAGATAGATTGTGAGATCCCACGTCAATTGGAGAGGAGAACAAATCATCTCTTACAAAAGTAAGTATGGAAATCTCTCCCTAACATAGACAAAACAATATTTACTAGTGTTGGACTTGAGCTGTTACACAATCACTAACCCATTAAAGATTTCGAACATAATTTAGTTGATTGAGATACCTTTGTATTAATTTAGGGATCTCTTTTTTCCTCGATCGCTAACTCCATTAAATGAGTGATGAGAAACAAAAGATGGCAACTTGGGAGGGTGATTTTGTCATCTACTCTCTTTCTCTCTCCTCATTCACTCTCTCTTCCTCTCTTCTTAACAAATGCTCAACAATCCCACTGTTCTTATTTTCCTGCTTCAAATTCTCAACAACAAGAACAACCAGAACAAGAACAGATAGCCATAGCCATAGCCATAGCCATGGAGCTTTCTTCTGTTCATTCTCGCTCTCTAAAGCCAAACCCAGATGATGACAATGATACCAATCTTTCAACCCAGCTCATACCAGAAGCAACTTCCAAAAAAAGGTTCGTTTTTTCCTCTTTTTTCCAACTTTTCAAGGCAAAAAAATCCAAACCCATTTGAAAAAATTTGTTCTTTTTGGTCCTTTCAATCCATTTTCTTCCAAAAACAAAACCCTTTTCATGTTTTTGCAGAAAGGTCCTGCAAAAAACTGTGGTTACTGTAAAGATTGGGTCTAAAAAAGCTGCAATAGGGGTAGGGAAGATGAAGAATGAAGGCCCTCCTCCTGATTTTTGGTCTTGGAGAAAATATGGTCAAAAACCCATCAAGGGATCTCCATATCCAAGGTTTAATTTTCTAAAAACTCCTTCAAAAACATGTTTTTTGCTCTGTTGGTCCTTTGTTTATCTCTGTTTTGGTGGTGTTTTTAGGGGTTATTACAGATGTAGCACAACAAAGGGCTGTTCTGCAAAAAAACAAGTTGAGAGATGCAAAACAGATGGTTCAATGTTCATTATAACATACACTTCAACCCATAACCATCCAGGTCCCAACATCTCTACCCTTAATTTGGATCAAACTCAAGAACAGATTCAACCACAGCCGTTGGATCAAGGTCAAAATCAGGATGTTCATCCAATTCAAGGGCTAGAAAAGCAAGATCAAGATCAAAGTGAAGAAGAAGAAGAAGAAGAAGAATTAAGTATGGAAGAGGAAGAAGAAGAAGAAGAAGAAGAGGAAAAGGCAAACAAGACAGAAGCGGAAAATCATGATCATTTCTTTGATGAACTTGAAGAATTGCCATCTCCTCAACCTTTCTCAAGCTATTTTTTTGATGAAATTAGGCTAATTTCTGCTGCCCCTTCTTGATTTTTGTTTATGTTGTTCTAAGTTCAAAAGGTTTAGAGGGCTAAATCTGAGTTGAAGGGTTCAAATTTCCGGTCGTGTTGTACTCGATATGTGAATATGAAATCCTAAACCAGTTTCTATTCTCGATTATCTTTATTTGGTAATGGTTGAGTAACGTCTTTTCATACACGGGTTAGTTGACGAGCGATAATGCTATGTTTGGTTAACGAGTAAAAAAGAAAACTTTATGTGGTTTATATAACTTTTTGTTAGTATATCCTAGAATATCCAAGTTTAGGTTACATATATCTCAACCAATCTTACGAGATAGCTTGATGTTGTAACATTTGGTTTTCTCTATAATAGATATCGGTTGGGGAAGATAACGAAACATTCTTTATAAGAGTGTGGAAATCTCTCACTAACATATGCGTTTTCAGACACCTTGAGAGGAAGCCCGAAAGGGGAAGCCCAAAAAGGACAATATATGTTAGCGATGGCCTTGGACGGCTATAAAATGGTATTAGAGATGAGCTCTGAAAGGGGGTGGACACGAGGCGGTGTGTCAGCAAGGACGCTGGGTTCCAGAGGGTGGAGGGTGGATTGTGAGATCCTACATCGGTTGAGGAGTAGAACGAAACATTTTTTATAATGGTGTGGAAATCTCTCATTGAGTGAAAGTCTAAGAAGAAAAGTCCAAATAGGACAATATCTCCTACGAGTAGTGGGCTTGGGCTCTTGACAGTGCTATTTGAACTGATTCTAAAGTTTACCTTCAAGCTAACCTCTGACGGTAGTTCACGGTATTAGAAACCGCACAAATCTAGAATAGACAATTCTCAATAACTCAAGCACAAACTTGACGACCTAGTGAGCGGGACGACATCTAAAAATATCTCTAGAGGATAACGTACGTAGAGAGAGATAGAGAGAAGGGTTAATTGTTTACAGGTAGGACAGGTATCTGGAGACAAAAAAAAAGTGGGAGGAGATCCAAAGGATTAAATAGGAAGGATAGAGAAGGCATTTTTGTTTTCGGGTAGTTGCGAGAGGGAGACCTCATTTACTCTTGGGTAGTCTTTAAACTTTCAAATGTTAGTATTAGTGTTTTAACTTTCTAAGTCTGATTTTCTTTTGATCCATAAATTTTTATAATATTTGTTGTAAACTCGAAACTATTTAAAATAATCATTTTATCTTCGATATGTTACTTTTTTTCACTTTAAATCTACTCTTACTACTCTTACTCTGTTAAAACTCAAATTTATATTAAAGAAAAAAAATTAAAATGACTAAAATAAACATTTTTAAAGTCATACTAAATAAAATAAATATAAATTAGATCCAATCTTTTTATTATAAGGTTTATTGTCGGTACAAAATGTTAAATTTATTGATAAGATAATGATGTAAAAACATATTTTATTAGTTAGGTTGAAGTAAGTTTACGTTGTATTTACTATATCACGTATTGTGTAATAACATATATGATTAGAAATGACGGATACAAACAAATAGATCTATTAGAAATATTGTTATACTCACGATTAATGTAATAATTTTTAATGTACACATCGTTTGATTTTAAAAAATTGACAATAACGATTTTATAAGATTTAAAACGATATAATATTAAGGATAAGTTATAAAATGAATAAAATTTCAAGAAAATTAGTTGAATAATAATTTCCGGATATATATATATATATATATTTTTTTTTTGATATTTAGTTATATAATAAAAAAATTTGTATAAACGCATTTAATTATTCAAAATTAATTTTTTGAAATGAAAAATTAAAAAATGATTAAAAACATATTTTCTTCGTGCCTTCAAAGACATCTCCAAAATATTTTTTCACATGGGCAATTCTAACACCACTTCTACACTACTCCCGAGCAATAGTTTTGAGGTAAAATATAACAGTCCAAGCCCATCACAAGAAGATATTGTCTTTTTTGGACATATAGCAAGTTTGTTGAGATTTTACACCCTTAATGTTTCATTCCAGTGAGATCTCACATAAAAGTACTTTTAAGTGAAACAAAATCTCTTATAAAAAATGCTTCGTTCCAATTGTGAGATCTCACATAAAAGTACTTTTAAGTGAAACAAAATCTCTTAAAACACATTCTCGATCATTTTACTTATAGAGAAAGCAAATGATCGATACAGTTAGCTCAATCTTTCACTTCAAACATACTAAAAGAAGACGTTTTCTCGATTTTTTATGAAAACATAATGAGAAGAAAGATGGAAAGGGGAAAACATCATCAATAATGACCAATAATTCTAGTTCAGCCCCAAGTTTCTCAAGAAACACATCCATAATGCAACAACTCCATTGAAAAAAAGAGCACTAAAATATCAGAAACAGCCAATTTCACAGGTAATAAAAACCCTCCCCGCAACGCATACGGAAAGCTACTGAATGCATTAGAAATTCTCATTGAAACCTAACGCATATTAATCCATAATCAAGATAGTGACTTCATAATAATGCTGTCTTTTATAGGGTCGGCGGCATCTTTTCCAACACCCAACCAGACATTGCCAAGTGTCAGGCCAACATTATCCTTGTCATCCCAACCAACCAAAAACTTGAGGGGCATTTGAATAAAATATCTTGGTGGTGTAAGGAAACTAACAGGAATTCAATGGACATTTAAAGATTTCTAAGATGTAAGCATGGAAGCCATGTTGTTATAATGGTCAAAATCTGCAAACACTAAGATGGTTTTTGCATTTAAATCTACAAGAAGAAGAATATCTAACCGGTTGCTACACAGCAGGATGAAATTTACGCATCCGGCTTGTTTTCGGTGGAAGCTGCGGCTGCTAAAGGTTGGAAAGCTTTGAGAGGATTCATGATGACTCCATCTATGAGTCCATACTCTTCGGCTTCTTTGGCGCTCATGAAGAAATCGCGATCAGTGTCTTCATTAATCTTCTCGAGACTTTGACCGGTGTGGTAGGAAAGATACCCGTTAAGATTAGCTTTATGATACAACATTTCATTTGCCTGCCAAGCAAGTTGCAGTTTAGGGGCTTTGTTGAAAATGTCTAAAATTAACATGGATGAAATCAGAGAATCAATAATCTACTAATCTAAGGTAATAGTACATTCCTGCTAAAAACAATCTAAATTCTCCTACCAAAAACTTGTTCAAGGTGGACATGAAAATTTTCATTTTCTTAATGTTCTTGAAGACTTGTGGAATGATAGCTTACTAAACAAAAACAAATTAGCTCCAAACTCATCCTCAAAGCTTATATATGAAGTACCTTGACAATATAATGCAACCAAAGGAAGTATTAGAAGTATCATAAAACAAATGTAGAATTTTATCAATGCTTTATTGATCATCCATGAGGATGTAAAAGTATACCTGAATATCAATGTCAGTCTGTCCACCCTGAGCACCACCAAGAGGCTGATGGATCATTATCCTTGAATTTGGTAAGCTGTATCTTTTTCCTTCACAAATAAAGGAGAAACAAGATGCATACTTAATACACAGAAATATGTCATTAAAAAAGAACTACAAAAATAAAATTCCAAAATTTGATGACACTAAAAACTTGTACCTTTAGTTCCAGCACTAAGCAGGAAAGCTCCCATACTGTCAATTATTACAACAAACGGAAAACCAGATATAAGAACAAACATATTACTTCAGAAAAATGAAGGTGAGGTTACAGATAATAGTTTTATGGTGGGAAAACTTCTCCTTATCACTCATTTCGAGAAGGAGAATGAAACATTTTTTTTTTATAAGGGTGTGAAAACCTCTTCCTAGCAACGCGTTCTAAAAACCTTGAGGGGAAGCCCGAAAGGGAAAGCCCAAAGAGGACAATATGTGTTAGCAGTGGGCTTAGACGGTTACAAATGGTATCAGAGTCAAACACCGGGTGATGTGCCAACGAGGAGGTTGAGCCCCAAAGGGGGGTGGACACGAGGCAGCGTGCCAGCAAGGACGCTGGGCCTCGAAGAGGGGTGGATTCGGGGGTCCCACATCGATTGGAGAAGGGAACGAGTGCTAGCGAGGAAGCTGGGCCCTGAAGAGGGGTGGATTGTGAGATTCCACAATGGTTGGAGAGGAGATCCAAACATTCTTTATAAGGGTGTGGAGACCTTTCTCTAGCAGAAACGTTTTAAAAACCTTGAAGAGAAGCCCAAAAGGGAAAGCTCAAAGAGGACAATCCATTAGTAGTGGGCTTGGGCTTGGGTTTGGGCTGTTACACACATACTTTCCTCTTTCTATCTTTCCAAAGTTACTGATACGCCGTACAAGAGAAAAATTGAGTTCATGTTACATGCACCAGCGCCTCACTTTGAATCACTGTAAAAATATATTTTTGCAAGTTTAGTCACCAATAAATTAGGGGGGCATGCTTAAACACCAAATTTTGGGCCTAACTACACCACTTGAACCAGCTAATACATTGTTTTCCCCATTTCGACTACAGATGTGTGCAATAGAGATACAAGACAACCAAACTAAAACTGAAACATTTAGACTGGTCTAAGCTTAATCCGCTTTGATTAATCTGGCTTCCTGGAGGTAACATAATATCAAAGGACGTAGCCTTCATAAACGCATCTATATAATGCAAGCCATAAAACTAGTAGAAAAATATGATAATTGGAACCAAGAGGAAGCGATCTGATACTATTTTAGCTTAGATAATAATTCTTCCCAACACAATTCAGCAATGCCACAATAAATTGCAAATAACACTTGGGGAAATAAAAGGAAAAAAGCAAAGTACGGATGCTCCAATTAATCTTGTACCTTGCGGCTAGTCCTACGCAGACAGTAGAGACATCTGGTCGAATATGCCTCATAGTGTCAAAAATGGCCATACCTGCACAGATCCAAGTGAATCCGTCGTTAAAAGATAACACTAATCCGAATCTCCAATGAACAAATGATTGGTGAAATAGTTTTCTGATTCCAATATTACCAGCTGTAACAGATCCACCAGGGGAATTTACATACAAAATGATATCCTGTTAAGCATACCAAAAATATCTAGTTAATTGATTAGTTATGCAGAAACGATAACGAACTATATATGAGATCCTTCCATAAAATGAATTGAGAACCAAAAAAGGAACCTTATTGGGATCAACAGCATCAAGGTATAGAAGTTGAGCAACAATGATATTAGCCATATCATCATCAACTGCACCACCACAACGAACAATTCTCTAGTCCAAAAGCAAATTAAATTATCAAAAGATAGTGATAACAACCTACACGCACTACACCAAACCTGGGCCGAGGAAATAAATATCGTAGAACTACACCCTTACATGTTGAAATAGCTGGCTGATAACACTTTGGAAGCGCTCCTGCACCATTGGAGGAGGACCTTGCCCTTGTGCGTACGTTGGAAAGTATGGTGAAGATGGAATTTGCACATCATCCCTATGAATCATACAGAAATATAATTTCACCATGTCTATGCTTAGTATTTCAATAACTGGTAATGATTATAGCCTTCTTTAGCCTCAAAAGAATGAAAGGGGAATTTCCAAGTTCATCAATCTATGCACCTTATAGACCAAAGTCCTTGGCGAGAACTCTTATCCAATGATGAAAACTCGCCTGAGTAGATGGCTTTGACAGGAGAATTCTTGAGGTTTCTTCCACCTCCAACCAATTTTCCTAGTTTCCTGCAAATAGGACATTACCCGTTGCTGCTACAATTAAAACAATAGAGAAATACGAGAACACAACTTCTGCAGCAGAAAAGAAAAAAAATACAAAACAGAGGGGTTTGAATTAAAGTTTATTCCCAGAAGAGTAGAACGGTAACAAAATTGAGGTTAAAAATAGAAAATAAACCGGAATTTCCCAATCTTATCATGCATCCAAAAGCGTGCCATTGGTACCAGTAATCTGCAAATACCCGAAGTCCAATTGGACGTCGAAACCCTTCCATTTTCGAACTTAAAACTAAATAATGCACCAATTCAAACAATCCATCATCGTCTCACTAACACGATTCAAAGACGCTAACACATTCAAACACCAAATTAAACTAAAATTGAATCGAAACACAAAAAACGAAGACAACCAAAAATAGGTACCTCGAATGGAAATTCTCCAACGGAAGAAAGAGCTTCTGAGAGTCGGAAGAAGAGCTCGAATTTGGAACAGAAACGAGGGAGTTTAATCTGAAAGACGAGGCAGATGTGTAGGTGAAAGTATGGGCCATTTTTGCAGCTGAAGGTTTGGGAAAAACTGGACAGAAAGCAATAGGGTGAAGAAGAACCTGCCGAGAATTCGGAGCAAAGTCCGAGAGGCCTTATCCGAGGGAAGAAGCGAACGACGGCGAAGATAGAGATGAAGAAGAAGATGGGTCGAACAAGTAATTTGATGGCAGTGAGCTCTGTTAATATCTCCATCAGAGGCTTCGAGCCCCTTCGCTTTCACACTCACCGAGCCCGACAAGTCAGTCATGGGCCGAGATCCGTTTGGTGTTGGGTTTGGATCGTATGCGTCAGGCTTACGTTTGGCCCAATTGGCCCAATAACACTTTTACAAAGGAGAATAATTACATTAGATCGAACCATAGACTAAACTAACTCTACAACCATATGCGTTTTGCCCGATCATAACTCACATCGTTCCAATAATTCGACTCAGACCCGATCATAACTCACATCGTTCCAATAATTTGACTCAGACCAAGGAGTCTAACATGTGTGCGAGTTAATGAGCGAGTGAGTCTAACATGTGTGCGAGTTAATGAGCGAGTGAGTCTAACATGTGTGCGAGTCAATGAGCGAGTGAGTCTAACATGTGTGCGAGTCAATGAGCGAGTGAGTCTAACATGTGTGCGAGTTAATGAGCGAGTAGACACATTTTTTAAGAAATAGTGAATTGAGTTAATGAGCGTGAATTATATTCATTTAACAGTGAAATAAATTAATTGTCATTAATTTTTTAAAAAATTTGTATTAAAGTAGAAATTATGTAGATGAAAACTATAATATTTTAAAATTTAAGGATGAAATTGAAATTATAAAAAATAATATTTTGACTAAAAAAATGTATACTAAAAAACAGGAGGAGTTTTTTTTTCTTTATTTGTTTCCGTATAAAAACCAATAAAATATCCCAATATGAATTTGAGAATTCAAAACTTCAGAAAAGAAAAATGATGAAAATAGGTAAATACTATGAACATATAATATTTTGCCATTGCCAATTGAGTCCGTTCAGAAAAGTTCTTCCATCCATTCATTACAACAAGAAGATTCGCAGAATCAATTCATCAGGGAATGCACAGAGGAGAATATGATGATATCATCATTATGCTTGATCGATCTTCTCCAAATGAGCACGTCCGAGTTGAAGAAGAATCAGAAGAAGAACAAGATGAACAACAAGTCTGTCTTCGCTCACAGAAGCAATTTCGAAATCGCCAAGCAGTTACTGGCGTATTTACTCATCTTCGAGCTAAGATTGTCCAATGGCGAATCCACTCCCATCTCTATAAAAGTATCATCGCAAGTCGTCAGATCAGACATTACGGCGGCGAGGACGCTCTCCATTGTACCAGTATCTTTAGTGTCGATTGATTCCAATCCAGATTGTAGGTCAAAAATTGCCATATCGAATGTCTCCAAGCAAGTATCGTAGCACGCGATTTCGACTTTCGATGCACTTTTACGGAGTAACTTCAATTTTGTTACTGCTTTCCTCACCTCTTTAATCGATTCCTCAATTTCCGTTTTCAGTGCAGAGGTAGGATTCACCTCTGATTCATCTATGTGAGATGAAATCGATTTTGTACACAACTGTGGATCGCTCGTTACATCGCAGATCTCTTCGAGATCGGTTGGGACGGTCGAATCGGAGGAGGAGGACGCCGAAGTCGGTGGTGTTGATGATGGAGATTGAGGCGACGATGCTTCCGATGCTTCCGATGCTTCCGATTTTTCCGATGAAGAATATGAATCGAAAGGGAATTCCATGTCGGAGGGAGACAACGCATCGGAGTCCGATTCTTGAGAATTTAGTGCCGAGTCTTCGGAGTCGGTTGGCGACTGAGCCGGTGGTGATGGCGATATTGATATCGATGGTTGTGGTGATGAAGATTGAGACGGCGATGCTTGCGGTGCAACAAATGAATCAACGAGGGAACCAAACGGAGCGGAGTTGCGAGGGACGCAAACGGTATTGGCAGGGAAAAAAAGAGAGGAGAGGGCGAGGAGGAGGAAGACATTGAGGCCATTGATGAGCTCCATCTTTTGTTCTTGTTGTTCTCTTCCTCCGGAGAACAAGAAGATAATAACAGGGTGAAAGGGAAGGGAAATGGATGGAGTGTTGTTGAAGGTAATTGATGGAGGAGGAGGGGCTTTAAAGAAGGCATCAACCGCCATTGGAGCTCAATCCAGCAATTGCCTGAAATAGGTAAAGCTTTCTTCTGGTTTCAAATTTCTGATCGCCTTTCCACCATAATTTCTCCTTCATCTTCGTTCGATAACTGTTTATAACATGAACATCCAAATATAGAATTTTGTACTTTTCTTTGTCTATTTCTAACATGAACAAAAAGAACAACACCTCATTTTTGGTGACCTTAAAAGACTAATTACACGATCACTTATTATGATAGCCTACTTGTAGTCATTTTGGTGGCTAATTACACGATCCCTTAACGTATGATTATCATAATGTCATCTACAATTACTTATGTTTTAAGGTATGATTATCATAATGTCATCTACAATTACTTATGTTTGTGTTTGTGGCATTACTTTTGGTGTCCCCGGTGACTAATTACATGATGATTTGGTGTATAATGTCACAGCTGATAACCAACTTCTAGTCATGTCAATGGCAAATTACAAGACTACTTAGCATATAATGATCACAATGTCATATCCCGAGTGTATATTGAATAATAAATCACAATCCAAGCTCCACTTACAACAAATCCAAATGTCTATCTACCTCGATTGACACTAATTTATAATCATAACAGGATTTTTTCCTCCAAATTATTCATAATCTATAGACCTGACATTTAAAAGTTTAAAGATCGGCAAAACAAAACTTAGATTTTTCTCCAAACATAGCCTAATAAAAATATTTCAACCCTATGCTCGAGTTGGTTGGTAAAAAAGAAAAAAGAAAAAAGATTAGAAAACATGGTAAATTTAAAGCCTAATAAAAAGAGGGAAGAATCATATGCAAAAATCATTCAATGGCCATTCCCCATCATACAAAGCTAGAAGAACATATATTTACAAAATCTATCATCCACCACATTCAGAATAAACGTCACCTGCCATGAAAAAATTGAAACACAGCAGTTCTCCACTAAAACCTACAAGTTTGAAAGAGATGAACACCCCCTTTTCCACCATTACTAAGTCCCGATCACGCAACCATATGTTCTTAAAACTGATCTACAATCCTCTAAGCTTCACGCTCTCTAATGCCAAACCGAAAAAGGAGGGGAGTGATGGAGTGGGATTCTACCAACTCGTGAGATTCCTAGTTACCTTGCTTTGAAGGCTTTCATCGTCCCTCATGGAGATCTTCGGAGAAAATTGCTGTCCGAGATACATTGTCATTGTCAAAAGCGCTTAAACCAGAATAAGGACCAGAAGAGAACATCGACGAGGATCCATCGGACTCGAATGTTGTGGAGAACTGTTTGACATTGGTTTGGTTGTTGGAGGATGGTACCATGGCGTCTTGGTATTCTGTAGTCCGCTGGACCATTTTAAGAGACTGTACAACTTCGCCCATAGTTGGGCGTTGGCCAGCCTCTGAAGCGACACAGGCTGCAGCAATGGTACACACCCGCACGAAATCTTCCATCGGATACTTTCCTCCAAGTCGTGGATCAGCAAGTTCTTCCAACCGATCCTTATCTCTCAAAATCGGCCTAGCCTGTAAGGAATAAACCCTACTAATCTTAGCTTCAACCAATATACAAATGGTAAATGTATACATTTTGCAAAGATTAAACCAGAAAGACACAGCAGCAAGCACATTTATCAACATCAAATGATGAGAAGAATGGGAATTGCTTCACAAAAACGCACCCATGTGACAAGGTTCTCCTGCCCTGATGTTTGTGACATATCTACAGGTTTTCTTCCGGTGAGCAACTCAAGAAGAACAACTCCATAGCTATAAACATCACTTTTAACGAGTAAATGACCAGTCATTGCATATTCAGGGGCGACATACCTGCAAGAGAACTCCATTCAATGAAGATCCCAAAATTCAATATACAACAACTAACTATTACAGGGCGGGGAATGAGACAAACCCAAATGTACCCATCACACGAGTAGAAAGGTAATTAGCTCTGCCTTCCGGAGCTTGTTTAGCAAGACCAAAGTCAGCAACTTTGGCATGAAAGTTGTTCTCAAGCAGTATATTTGATGCCTTAAAGTCTCTGTGGATAACACACGGTTGTGAGTCTTCATGAAGGTAAGCAAGTCCTCGAGCTGCATCAAGTGCGATCTTCATTCTGGTGTCCCATTCCAAAGGACAATTAACACCTAGAGGCCCTAGCAAAAATATACTTGTCAATACATCATCGTAAAAATCTTTTAAACGCAATTTAAATTTCCATCATTTAAAGGTTCTCCAAATCTCCAAATCATAGTCCGCTTAGTAGAAAGAGAGAATGGATACCATGGAGCCAGGCCTCCAAGCTTCCATTGGGAACAAGTTCATAGCATAGCAGGTTTTGTGAAGAATCACGATTACTGTAGTAGCCAACAAGTTTAACAAGATTTCGGTGATGCAACCGACTAAGCATCTCGACCTCAACCAAAAACTCCTTATCACCTTGTTGCCCTCCACTTGTAAGCCTCTTGATTGCAACAGCTGTGCCGTCACTCAAGACGCCCTTAAAAACCCTGCCAAAACCACCCTCCCCCAATATGCTTTCTGCTTCGAAGTTATTAGTTGCTTCTTTAAGCTCCTCGTAAGTTAGACATCTCATACTTGATGGATGAGGGAAAGATCCTACCCCAGGCACTTTGTCATCAACCCTTGGTTTTTCTGAGATGTGAGAATAATGGATGAAAATACAGTTGCCATAGTAGTAAACAAAGAAATAATGAAAAAAAAATTATGAAAATTGTATAGAAACAATAATATCAACAACTTCCTACTTGCAGTGTGAGTTCAAAACCATGTAATAAATTTTTGAGGATAGTGGAGCAAAAGTCTTAAAAAATGTCAAAACCACAATTTAACTCATTTATGCTCACTTTGTATGACCAGTGCTTCACTTAAACTTAATTTCATCTCTTGATTGGCAATTCCTTTTATCTTATAGCCATAAAATCCAATGGATACTAAGGTTTCGGTATTATGTTCCCTTCTTCATCCCAACAGTAGGTTCAAGGTGGCGATAGCGACGGATACTTTCATAAATTGTGTAAACCAGACACGGACAAACTAAGGATGTAGGCTAAAATTTTATATACGTACCAGCTACTAAAGGAGGTGCTTCAGTCTTCCCACGACGAGATGTGCATAGACAAATTATCAACACAAATAGAATGGCAATGAAAAAAAAGCCAGCACCGATCCCAAGAATAAGGGTCAGATTGGAATGGTGTCCTTTACTAGGAGGACTCAGTGATGTTGAGGCTGGAAAATGATATACAGGAGCTGCTACTGGTGATGCCGAAGCTGTAGGAGCTGTAGATCCAATGAAAATATTGTAACAACACCATAACTTGAAAGCAACCACAATTAACACATCCGCTACAGGCTTAACAGAACAAAACAGCAAAAACATTTATATCCTCAAAAGAAACAGCATTTCCAGCAGTGGGTAACCTAGGTTCCTCAATTATGGAGGAATTACTAATTTATAGTCTTTATTTGCTTCAAATCAAATTCTATACAAGTTGCAAATTACCCAATAAAATGGTCCATAAAACCTAAAGCTGCATAATAATGTAATTTAGAAGTTAGCAGCATCAATCTTAAATTATTGTTTGATATATTGGATGTACCTTGAGAAGGGGGAGGAGGCGTAAACCAGGTGAGATTGAGAAGATTGTAATCACCAACCAGTGTAGGGTCTAGATGAACCTTGTGCATTGTAAGTGAAGAGTTTATCGTCGATGCATCAACCGCAGAAAAGCTGATCCCAGCATGTGGAGTAATGTCCATTGAGATATTTAACCTTGATAAACTAAGTACATAAAAGTTTATCAGCTCAATCTGAGAGACTCGTAAACCTAGTTCGGAAGCTAACTCTTCGAGAAAAAGTTTCCAATTAGGATTCTGTGATACATTCAAGAGGAGGAGATCAATTTTTATGGGATAGACACAGTGGCAGTCATTGCCACTTCCTCGTTTCAGCACCATGTCAGGTTTGCAACAGTCTGTTAGATGATGAATAAAACCAGGAGCAGGCCTCAAATAAGTTTATTTATCAACAAATAAAATTAACCTAAGTAGCTTACTTTTAATTCATAAGCACGCAAGAAAGAGCATACTTCATTAGAAGGGAATGAAAAGAAGGAAGAAAAAGAATTCAGTATACGATTTACCTGCTGCATTAGGAGAAAGTGGTGGCTGAGGTAATCCAAGGGGAATAGCACCAGCACTGGACTGTATGGGAGCAATGTTTTCAAGCCTACCATCAGGAGGAGCCGATCCACTCTTCATCAATGGTTTTGAAAAACTTGAACTTGTGGGTGAGTGACCAGAAGTGATAAGAGGCCCATAGTAAGGAGGAGATGCCGGTGCTAGTCCAGCTGCTGACACAATCTGCGGTGACATATTTTTTCCGCGGTGGTGTTGGTGAGGAGACAATTTGGCAGGAAAAGGCATATCATGGATAGCAGGTGCAACCAAAGGTGCTGCTGATAGATCGGGTACGTAGGCATTGGTGACGGGAATCAGAAACCACAATAAAATGAACTGTTTTGGAAACGAGCAAGCAACCTGTTTCAATATACCTGCATTATAACCTCCAAATCAAGGTTTCGTACACTAAAAATATGTATCGACGTAAACATCTCTAAGTTTCCTTCTATGTAAGATAGCTTAAGGATTCTAAAGGGACTTGGGAAAGTTGTAAAAGAAGGCGAAGCAGCTAATTGGTGATACTAAAATTTTCTTCAATCCCCCAAAGGTATGTTTCAAGGAGTTCACTAATTCATTACCAGTGGAGTACAGTGAAGAAGGAACGAGTCCTGAGTCCCGAGTCCCGCTCTTGATTTGCCTTTGATTACAAAAATTATATAAAAGTTAAAGATTTCAAAATTTCATCTCTAATTTAGCCCCTAAATCATCAACAGATTTTAAAAACATATAATTTTTCCCCCCTCAATGAAAATGTTTACTCCACCCTCAAATTCTAGATATGCATCCTTTTGCCTTAAGTGCTTGTTTTTCGCCACTTGAATAGAACAGAACAAACGATTACAGCAATTCGCCGTCCTCATACCACATTTCCTCACTTGAAAATTACAAAAATGGATTTCCAGAGTTGAAAGCAGCTATCAAATTTAAGTAAAGAAGGTGTCGGCAAGCTTAAAATCACAGCACTAGCTCAAGAAAATGCGAAAGCCAGCCTAATAATCAATCAGGAAGAACAACTCAAATTAAGGTCGCAAGAAAAACCACCAAAACGAGGTAAATAAATTTCACGTCACCAATTTCCAAATTCTCAACTATAGCATTATCTCATCCAAATCCCACTAACGTTTTCTCAAAAGCTAACGAGTCACACAAGATTCAAAACCGCAATCTCATTTCCCCTCTAACAATCTTCAGATTGACAATAAAACATCCCAATAAAAAACCACTCAAAAACCCAACTCAAACACCATCAACTCCATATAGAACAAGCATTGAAAATTCCGAAATGAACATACCCGCAGCAACGGAAGCCGCAGGCACCGACATCGCCGACGAGTCAGATCTGAGATTTGGATCAAAACGCCGAAGAAACCATTACGGAAATGAGCGTAGGCGGCAAGCAATAACAAAGCCGATGCAATAGCGAACTGCAAACCACTCGCTCCAATGAAGAACAATTACCAAAGCGGAGTATTAACATCACCGAGAAGGGAATCGAAACGAAACCCAAAAAGCAAAAGCTATGAATGAATTAAGTAATGAATGAAAGAGTGAAATTGAAAGGACGAAGAGAAAGTTATGGGAAGTTCTTCTTCTTCTTCCTCTTCTTCTTCCCTGACAAAGTGACTGAGACTGAAAGAGTGCAGGGGGAGGTTTTTACTGGATAAATTCCAAGAAATGAGTCAAAGAGATCCTGTAATTCCAACGTGAAAAGACATTTATGACCCTCCTTATATAACAACGAAGGGTCCTAACACTAAAGCTCCTTGCTCTCTCTCTCTCTTTTTTTTTTTTAACCTTGTTTTGCTTCATCTTCTTGGTGTAAGAAGACGTCGAATACGTTGTCACCCGACTTGATCCGTTGATGAGAATGCCATCTATTGAAACATTCGTCGAGTTCACGAACGTAATCGATGTATTGAATCGAGATACAATAAAAAAAACTTGTCAAAGTCCATTCAACACAAAAAGACACGATATTACCTCAACAGGTGTGGGAGGAACCCTCATGTGCATTTGTACAAGGAACCTCGATGTTTTGTACGTGTATGTCTACGTCTGTCTTGTCATCTCTATCTTTATCAGATTCATCATCTCCGTTTATATGTATTATCGATTAAAAGGTTAGAGGTTTGAATCTTTTTCACTTTTAAATGATAATAAGATTGAAATTTCAAAAAATGACGTAAACACAAACTATTTGGACCATGGAAATGTCCATAATGGTAATTACAATATTTTGGCAATGAATAAAAAATAAAATTTTTACAAGAAAAAAGAAATTTAAAAGACAAAAGAAAGAAAAACCTCATTTAATATATTTAATGGGCCATCACTGAAACCTCTTTGGAACATGTGGGCCTACGGCCCAACCCAATGGTCACCTTGAACGATTCGGGTTGATTTGTTCCGGGTTTTACCGGCCCGAAGTTCGACCCGAGATCACAATTTCTCCCAAAAGATGTCTCGGTCGTCGTCGATTCTCTCATCACTCAGCCAAGGGAACGAACAAACCCTCTTTCTCTCCGTCGAGTTGCCGTTCCGATTCCCTAAACCCTAGCTTCAGCTAATTTATTCATCAGATTGAGGGTTGTCAAACGCTTCGATTTCTCATGCCGATTTAGGGTTTTGTTCTTTTTGGTGATTAGGATTCAGAATCGTCGACTAAACGATCAGAATGTCGAAGAGGAAGTTCGGCTTTGAAGGGTTTGGAATCAATCGACAAACTACTTACAATTTCGAGCGCTCCCAAGCTCCCCAGAGGCTTTATGTCCCTCCCTCGTCGCGCGGCCATGGGCACGACAATTATGAAGATACAGACGTTGATAATATAGAATATGATGATAATGAAGCGGAGGAGGCGAGTGGAAATGGCGACAATGTCGCTGGCGCTGGCGGTGGTGAAGAAGAAGAAATTGACCCTTTAGATGCGTTCATGGAGGGAATTCACGAAGAGATGAAAGCACCCCCGCCCCCGAAACCGAAGGAGAAAGTGGATAAGTATAGGGACGACGAGGAGGATGATCCAATGGAGAGCTTTCTTAAGGCTAAGAAGGACGTGGGACTGACGCTGGCTGCTGATGCGCTTCATGCTGGTTATGATTCGGATGAGGAGGTTTATGCGGCAGCTAAGGCTGTGGATGCAGCGATGGTTGAGTACGACTCTGATGATAATATGCTGATTGTTGAGAAGAAAAAAATTGAATCAATTCCTGCTCTAGAACATAGTTCCATTGATTACGAGCCGTTCAATAAGGATTTCTACGAGGAGAAAGCTTCAATATCAGGTTATTTTTTGTTGGAAGTTATGCTTCAGTTTTATTTATGAAGTTGGTTATATTTCAGTATTGCTTTTTCCTTGGCTGATCTGACTGCCTCTGATCATGTTGTGCATCGTGGTAATTAATTTATCTTCTTAACTTCTTTAAATCAATGCTGGTTAAATCGAAGCTAAAGTGGACCGAACTGTATGATGTATGGGACTTGTGACCACGATTTTTTTTCCTCTCATGGAAAGAGTTAAAGATTTGCTAAGATATGCAACCTTCACTGCATCACTTTGTTTTTTGGCCTTTCCAAATTAGTTACAGCAATAAATGGGCTTCCCAATTAAAAGAGTTCCATTTTCTAATGAAATTTGTGGATTTTTGTGTTTAACTTGTTACTTACCCTTTTTATTGTTGTTGTTTTGTACTTTCGATTACATCTTCACTCAATTCTTTTTTCTTGCCTTCCCCTGCTTGCAGTCTCCTAGAATAAAGATACTTAGTTTTTGGAGAATCTAACTGATTAATTCAGGTTCTAAATTTTTTGACTGTTTCCTTTGCTACTTCATCTTTAGGGATGAGTGAGGAGGAAGTTTCTGAGTACCGGAAGAATTTGGCTATTCGTGTGTCGGGTTTTGACGTTCCTAGGCCAATTAAAACATTTGAAGACTCTGGATTTTCCCTTCAACTTATGAATGCTATAAAAAAGCAAGGGTATGAGAAACCTACTTCTATACAGTGCCAAGCTATGCCGATTGTGCTTTCCGGGAGAGATATCATTGGAATAGCAAAAACGGGTTCCGGTAAGACTGCTTCTTTTGTTCTTCCAATGATTGTTCATATTATGGATCAACCTGAACTTGAAAAAGAAGAGGGTCCTATTGGAGTGATATGTGCCCCCACCAGAGAACTCGCTCACCAAATATACCTCGAGTGTAAAAAATTTTCAAAAGTACACGGGCTACGTGTCTCTGCAGTATATGGTGGGATGTCTAAATTTGATCAGATAAAAGAACTCAAAGCTGGATGCGAGATAGTTGTTGCCACTCCCGGCAGACTGATAGATATGATAAAAATGAAAGCCTTGACAATGTCAAAAGCCACATACTTGGTACTTGATGAAGCGGATAGAATGTTTGACCTTGGATTTGAACCCCAAATTCGCTCCATTGTTGGTCAGATTCGGCCAGACCGTCAAACCTTGCTCTTTTCTGCAACAATGCCTCGTAAGGTTGAAAAGTTAGCTCGAGAAATTCTCACCGATCCTGTACGAGTTACGGTTGGAGAGGTTGGGATGGCTAATGAAGATATCACACAGGTTGTTCATGTACTTCCTTCTGATCTGGAGAAGTTGCCTTGGCTTCTTGAGAAGTTACCTGAAATGATTGATGATGGGGATGTATTGGTGTTTGCTTCTAAAAAAGCCACAGTGGATGAGATTGAATCTCAACTCCTACAGAAAGGTTTTAAGGTTGCAGCTCTTCATGGTGACAAAGATCAGGCATCACGAATGGAAACTCTGCAAAAGTTTAAATCTGGTGTTTATCATGCTCTTATTGCAACTGATGTTGCTGCCCGTGGGCTTGACATTAAGTCAATCAAGTCCGTTGTAAACTTTGATATTGCAAAGGACATGGACATGCATGTTCATCGTATTGGTAGAACAGGTCGTGCTGGTGACAGGGATGGGAAAGCACACACCCTTATAACTCAGAAAGAGGCTCGCTTTGCTGGCGAATTAGTCAATAGTTTGATTGCTGCTGGCCAGAATGTTTCAATGGAACTGATGGATCTGGCCATGAAGGTAATTTTTCATTATATGCATGTTACTAGGTTCACAGTAAGCTAAGGACCTATGGAACTATGCTTATACCTTTTTTCCTCGCCCATTTTGTTCGTTTGAAACAGTTTTTCTTCTAATTTTTTTTCACGTAAATTATGTGACTCACATCTCACCTTTAGAGTGGCTGCAGAAACGTTTAGAAGATACTCCGATTTGTTGCTATAGAAACTTAACGTTCTTAAAAAACTGACCTTTGGGAAATGAATAGCGTCAATCTTTGTGGCGATGGATTTCAATGTGTATCACTGATGATATTGATTGATGGGAAATTGTTTTCTCCCAAATTGATGGTTTTGTGGCAGGCTAGTGTGCGCGATTTTGTGGGTCTTTAGAGTTAGGGGAATAATGAATCTTTAGGGGGTGGGATAGGTTGACTAGCGATCTTTTGTCCATTGTTAAATCCTATATTTCTCTTTGTGCTTTTGTGAGAAGGCCTTTTTGTAATTACCTTCTTGGTGTCATTTTACTTTATTAGAGCCCTTTTTAGAGTTTGACTTCCTTTTGTGGGTTTATTTCTGTATGTTCGTGTGTTTGTTCATTTTTTCTCATTGAAAGTTTGGTTATCCATATAAAAATAAAAAGAAAATGCCTTCTTAGGTCTTGATTTATTCTTTGTAATGTTCTCTTATTTTTTATTGCTAGCAATTGGGGTTCCCTCATGTATGTTTTTGGGAGCTTTCTATGATCTTGGGCATGTATTTGTGTATATTCTTAATAGCATTGCTTATTATCGTTCTTTCATTAAGCTTTCCCCCACTTCTTTTTTTCCCTGCTTGTGAGGCGTAGTTGTTTGAGAAAGTTGCTAGTATGATTTTTTGCTGAACCATTTGCCTCTGAAATCATTATAGGATGGGCGATTCAGGTCGAAGCGTGATGCAAGAAAAAAAGGAGGTATTATTCAACATCTGACTATATTCTCTCTTTCGAGCTGTGAATTATCAACTTAGTGATAATGTTTACCATTTATGTATTTATACGATACATTGTTGTCTTCGTAGGTGGTGGCGGTGGAGGGAAGAAGGGTAAAGGGAGAGGTGGCGGCAATGGTCGAGGTGTGCGTGGAGTGGATTTCGGTCTAGGAATCGGTTATAACCCAGAAAGCAGTGGTAGTAATCCTTCAACAAACAATGTTCAAAGTCGATCTGCAGCTGTGAATTCTCTGAGGACAGGAATGATGGCACAGTTTAAGAATAGTTTCGTCGCCGCTTCATCAGCTCCTCCAAGTCAGGGTTCAAATAGCAGCTATAGTATGCCAGCAAACAAACGACCAACATTAGCTGGCTTTGTATCAGGTGGCTCGATTGGTGGTGGTGCAAACCGCCCCCCACCTCCTGCGCCAAGAGCAAACTCATACGTTCCAAATGCTGGAGAGTTCTCGAGCCAAAAGAACTCAGAAAGGTTGTTAAATCTTTCCTCCCTTGTGTTTGTTGGAACCTTTAGTACTACGAATACTTCTATGAGTATCCTAATTTGGTGCCTCATATGATCTAATTGCAGTTCTGGCGACAGGTCCAAGGAAAGGAGAAGACCCTCTGGTTGGGACAGATGACTACTAGAATTGGAAGAAAGATATAAACTCAGTAGTGTTGAGAGAAAACTGTATCAGGTTTCATACACTCTCTCTTTCTCTCTTTGTTTTGTTTACATTTGTTTTCACCAATGTATGATTTTAGCTCTTATGAGATTGTAGAAGTTGTCTGATATAAAATCATTCCCTCTCTCATTCTCCCTCTTAGTTTTAATCTTTGCCTTTCTCTCTCTATTATTATAGACTATATAATATCGGTTGTATGGTCATTCCATAGAATCAGTGGAACTTCTGCCAATCCCATCAAGAAAGATGCATGATTTTTCTTCACCTTTTCCCTGTTCCCAAAATTAAGACAGTCCATCTTCATATCACCATTATCTTAACATGGGAATGAGTAAGTGACCAGATGAGTGTTAGTTTTGTAAATTTTCCTGATTTAGTTGGGTTTCCTTTGTAAGAACTTGTATATATATACAAGTGATTAGATGTGGATGAATGAACCAGAGTTTGAGGGAACTAGATTATGAGTTCGATGAGCTATAACCCTTCGATGAGTTTGATTGAAACCATAGAACCCAAATACTAAGTTTCGGAAAGCCTATGACTCCAATACTTAAGTATTTAAGTGGGAAACAAGACTTTAGAACAATATAATAAGATATATGAATGACAAAAAAACTTAATATGGAGATTAGAACCTGTTACTCACCAGTATTTTTACCCTTATTTTTCTAATGAAACTCAATATACGCAGCCAAGACGAGTTTTTGGACGAACTGAGGCTATAGGAGCTGCAATAGATTCGTCTCATGGTTTTTTTTTAATAATTATTACGCCTCTCTAGTAAACTTTTATTGGATTATATTTAAGGTTATTTGATGAAATTAATTGAAATTATTGAATCGTTTTTCATTTCCTGTCAATAGCAATAATATCTAGAACATAAATGCCAAAGTACTTCGACATATTGTTAACGAAGATGTTGAGAGGACATCACACACTAACTATTACAAAACTAGAGAAGGTTTTGAAGTCTAACATCATCCTAGTTCGACAATTAAGGAAACTTTGAGGAAGTTTTCAAAGTCAAAACATGTAAAGTTCTAAAATAGAGGAAGCTTCGATGTCCAACCTTCCTGATCGATGAAAGAAACACTCGTAAAGCGTCTAATCTCATCTATACTAAGTTTTTTAAGCCAAGACACACGCTTTGAAGTGTCTGCTCCTGATCCAATACAACGTGTCTCTGCATATGTCAAACTCGCCCTACAAGATTCATATCACATAACAATTTAGAGTTAATGTCTCGTCTCACTGTCGAGAAGCGAAGAACAGGAAGAAAGAAAAGGCTTACTCGTGGCCAACTTGTTCCCAAGGATCCCAACCAGCAGGGTTAATACAAGCTGACAGGAAAGATGAATAGTAAATAACTGTGGAGAAAGGTCTGTAAGCCCTCCCAAGATAAACAGTCCCACTTCCAATCACTGAGCATCCAATGAATACAAACCCATTGGTTTGGCTTGAATCTTCCTTCCCTTGAGCTGTTATGTAACCATGTCCTATCACTGGAGCATATAGGTCGATTGGTATATTTATCTTACAGTTCTGCAGTAAACAACACGAGCACAGTAATCACAACTTCAAACCAATTCAATGTCTAACTTAAGGTGTAATGCACGAATTGTTGAATGGCTCGAGTTGTTATGTAATGAGATTAATCCAAATATGTAATATAAGCTAACTCGAACACTTGCGTAAATGAAAAAAAAATTCAAACCAATTGAATAATTGTGAGATCTCACGTCTGTTGGAGAGAGGAATAAAATATTCTTTATAAGAGTATGGAAACCATTCTCCAGCGGATGTGTTTTAAAACCATGAGATTGACGATGGTACGTAACGAGTCAAAACGAATAATATTTGCTAGCGGATGACTTAGACTATTACAAACTGTATCAAAGCCAGGTTACCAAATAGTCTAAGACACTAGTTAGAGTAGGGATAAACCCTTTCTATAGTAGACGCATTTTAAAATTGTGATGCTGACGATGATACGTAATGGGTCAAAGCGTACAATATTTACTAGCGGTGAGGTTAAACTATTACAAATAGTGTCAGAGTCAGACACCGAGCAGTGTGCTAAAAAAGACACTGGACCTCCAAGAGAAATGAATTGTAAGATCCTACATCGATTGGATAAGGGGAACAAAACATTCCTTATAAAAGTGTTTTTATTTTAAAACCGTGAGGTTGTCAACAACAATGCATGACGGACCAAAACGGATAATATCTACTGATTGTAGAATTTACTCGTGGGACTTAAACCTAGCTAAAATAGCTAAAAAACAGTATAAAATGTGCAAAGCATAGTTTAAAGTTAACCTCGTATATAGATTGACCAGCACCAGATATGACATCGATTACACCTTCGATGTAGCATTCGGTGTAGCGATGGCGACCATTTCCATCCCACAAGGTATCTTGCAGACCAACAAAGCCACACTTATGGAAAATCCCTCTATCTCCTTCTATGAGAGCTGCAACTGCTGGTGCTATATCTTCTCGTCTCTTCACACTTCCGGGCGCATTATACGTATTCTGCAAAAGTCATTTTAATTTATTAAATTATAACTTTTTAAGTCTACTGCAAACAAATATTATTATTTTTCTTATTTGGACTAAGAAGAGACGTGTCCACTAGGGAGGAATATACTCTCCAACCGATGTGGGATCTCTCAATTCACCTCTCTGGGGTATATCGTCCTCGCTGGCGCACCGTCTGATATCTAACTTTGATACTATTTGTAACAACTCAAGCTCATCGCTAATGAATATTGCTAACATGAAAAAATAATAGCAATACTACCTTGAATGTGATGCCTTTTACTACGAGATTTTCTGCCATAGAAGTGAAGGTGGCACTTGTAGCTGTGGTTGCATGGTCATTCCATCGAATTTCCGTGGAACTTCTGCCAGCTCCATCGAGAAAGATGCACGATTTTTCTTTCGAAATATGCACCTTTTCCCTATTATATCACGATGATCTTCTCAAATTGTTCTATTTATAACTTCGATCTATGGCTCGTATCAGTAATTTGGTAATATCATAAAAAATGAATTGCGTAATTAGCCACACAACACGAACGAAAAATGATAAAGGAATGAAACGATATCTTACGAGTATATGCCACTAGAAATTTGAATTCTAATCCATCGGCTATTTTGTGAAGGGATCGAATCAATCGCACTTTGGATTGTTTTGAAATTTCCCGAACCTGATTTGTCAACAACAATAGTATACGCAACTCTATTAGGATCATTAGGATTCAACTCACAATCTAATGCTTTTGAAACATTGAGACAAAGTAACAACAACAACGTTGTTATTAACAAAATTTGTTCCATATTTCTTGGAACAAACAAATCATAAGACCTTTTACAAAAATGAATTGTTTTTGTAATAACATATATATATAAACACTATAAACATGAGAGAATTAAATTAATTATGAGCATGTGAGTTGTGTAATTTTTTTTTGGTGAATAAGATATGATTAAGAGATGATGAAATATACGTAAAGTGATATGAAATCCAAGTTATATATCAAATTAAATTTGTTGGCATTTGAATTGTTGAAATGCATAAATTCTAATATGGTAACTTATATAAATGACACCTTAAATACTATATATATATATATTATATATATATATAATGAAATCACTTAAATATAGATTACTCGTTACATAAACATAATGTATATTTACGGTGTAACCCATTTAAGTATATCTGATCGTGACGAGAGTTTGTTGTTTTGTCAAGTAAACACACGTTAAAGTTTACGGTGTAACCCATCTATATAACCTATATGGTGGACTCTGACCCAACATTCAAAAACCTTATACCAACTAGGGTTTGTTACCAAATGCATTGTAATGTTCGAGTCGAGCAAATATGCTAGTTTTTCTAATTTTTTCTTTAATTTTTGAACTTAAAAGATTTTGTCGAGGGCCTTTAAGGTTGAATTTCAAGGAAGTGTAGAAGGAAACAATGTTTGGGATAGCTCTAGGGACTCGAGAAAAAATTGAAAAATACCAGTCAAAGTCAACCGAGGGGATTTTGCACCTCTTACTAACTCGAGAAGACCCTGGGCGGACCTGAATTAGGCTCCTCGAGAGAATTTTTAGAATTTTTGGTGACTTTTCTGCTTAGCAATTGAACTCGAGAAGGCACATGATAGTCATGTAAGTAATCACAAAGATTCTAGATAAGTAATACTGGTAGGGATCGCTGGAAAATGCATGCATGCTAGTATAACCAATCTTAACTGGATAGTTTCCAGATGTTTAGAGCTTTTAT